ACATTTGTTAGTCAACATCTGAGGAATTATTTAATTATTGTCTGATACTGACGTCACTATCAGAAATGTTTTACTCCCTAATTTTACTCCTTTGTCATCCAAAGGCTCTGGTTTATGATCACAAACAGATCTCTGCACTCTTTCGTTCTTTTTTTTCCACTACAGTTAAATAAGTAGGTAGATTTATCTTCTTTTATCATGGCACTCCTGTATAGATCATCATGTGGAGATATTTTGACATCCTGCTCAGACTGTGGATAAGAAGCCTTTGTCAGTGTCTGTGTGTGCAGTGATGTCAGGAGCTAGTTAGGTGGATGTCTGCCAGCATCTAATCTCGTCTCCTTCACTGTTTGCACGAGTGCCCATGCACCGCAGCAGAGCTTTAATGAGGATGATGCATACCCAGATCTGAGGCTGCTCTGCATGTTTCACGCCCGAGGCAGGCGGCCGTTAGACAGCGTGTGAGGGGATGAAGGAGCACAGGAGCAAGGTGGGGCCGACTCTGTAGCCAGAGGATAATTTGAGGTTGTCAGCTGGCCAACACTTTAGCTCGCAGCCAAATGGAGGGGGTGGTTGTGACAGAGGTGTACGCAGAATGTAAGGATTCCTTGGCGCTCCCGCCTCCCATACATGCAGGCTGTGGATGTTTTAAGAACACTCGAGTCTTCCCTCAGTGCTTTTCATGTCAGATTAGACTGCGAGCGTAACATGATGGGCGTCGGTTGGAGAGAGACGTGAGAGCGGAGAGATGTTTTAATTTGAAATTTCAACTGTGTGTTTACCTGCACAGGGATAATCTGCTGAATGTGCATAGAGCACGGCATCCTGGGAAACCGCTGGCAGGACTCAGAATACTGGACGTTGGCTGTGGAGGGGGCCTGCTCACAGAGGTAAAGTGTGTGTGTGTGTGTGTGTGTGTGTGCGTGTGCGTGTGTGTTTTGTGAGAGAGAGATCCAGGACATGGAGACAAAAATATCCTTCCTGTACACAATCTGTCCAGTTGCAATTGTTTCAATTGCTACCTCTCACGTCACATTCAGCCTTTTATTTTAATCCTGCAGATTGCGGTCTTTTACTTTGACATTCTGCTTCCAATGCATTATAGTGCCAGTCTGTTCACATACATACCAGTGCTGGGAAAACATTCAAACGTCAGACCGGTTCTCGTTCTCTTTTGATTTGACTGGTCTCAGTGTGGTGGACCGGACAGTCGGTCGTTTACAGTTGTTTATCTGTTTGTTAGTGTTGATAGCTGCACACTGAGGACACAGCTCCTGTCTCTGCTCTCGTTTGAACTGAGGACATACCAGCTGTGTTTTGTGATTTGGGAAGACAAAATCAGGTCCTGCATTTCTAAGGCTCTGTCACCCTTGCTGTCATATTCAGACACACACACACAAACACAAACCCCCTCTGAAAAAAGTGTCTGTTAAGATTTAAACTGTGTTTGTGTCTCGGGGTGTCTTGTCACTGTAAGTCGTCCCATCAGAAGGGATCAGGGAGGATGGAGATTGGCCCCTGGGCAAGCAACCGCAGCTCTCCACACAGGGATGTGTTTGTACCTAATGTCCAGAAGAGGGCACTGTAGGTCACGTTCAGCCACTTGTTTATTCCAACGTGCAGTTAAATTAAAATCTGTGGAGTTGGGTTGATCCTTCATCGACTGTGTCATGAATTAACTTTCACAGTTACATGTTTATTTGTGTGCTCTCAAATTTGGGGATAATAGATGACAAAGTAAAAATATTCCGTAAATGATGATTACATCTGTAGACATGTCTCTGCAGTGTGAAGTATCAGGCAGCTTAACTTCACAAAAATGATCTGTTTTAAGGAAGTCACACCGCAGGAAGTTAAATGGATTCGGATTTATTGAGTGCACCCTAAACAACTGTGGAAGAATCTCTAACCTGATTGAATTTGCAGTGTTCATTATTCATTCATACAGCTGGTTAAACTGCGGAGACGTCATGCATGCAATCGAGTGGAAGAATGTCATTTATTAGAGTGTATACACACGCCAAGGCCTCATGAAAGCACATTTAAATTCTCTAGATTTGGATTTTTATTTGGATCCAAACTAAATTGCACACACTCATAAATACCAGTCCTCTAAACATGCCTGAGTTGTATCAAGATCAAGAATTATACTCTTTGTGAGTTTTTACCATGATGGAGATCTTACAGATAAAGTGGAGACACCACAATGTGTGTGTTGTCTTTTATACAATGTGCTGAATGCTAACTGTACCCAGGAGTTCACCCTCTAGCTCTCTCCCTTTTTTCTTTCATTTATTTTTAAGGCAGTGTGGTGAAGCCAATGGCAGATTTTGCACACATAGACAATAATGTTTCTAACTAATTTGATGTTCTTGTGTGGCCTTTTAAAACATTTTGATGTAGAACAATCCCTGTTGTGACTTTCCTCATTCCCTCCTCCTCCCCAGCCTCTGGGTCGCCTGGGGGCAACTGTGGTGGGTGTAGATCCGGTAGAGGACAGCATCTACACCGCTCAGCTGCATGCGTCCTACGACCCGGACGTCCGTGATGCGGTCTCCTATCAGGCCTGCACCCTTGAGGAGCTCATGACGGAAGGGGAGGAGGAGCAGGGAGCGGGTCAGTTTGATGCTGTTGTGGCGTCAGAGGTCGTGGAACATCTGGCCGACCTGGAAACATTTGCCTTCTGCTGCAGCCACGTGCTGAAGGTGTGTCCTGTGTGTGTGTGTGAGTGTGAGATTCTCCTCCCAGCTGTTGGCTCATGTCAGATATTTCTGCATCTGTACAGCATGTGTCTGTTCACCTGAACGTATGCTAAGGTACATATACAGAATTTTAAAAAATGTGCTTTGTAATGAATCATGACGAGTTTTGATGAAAAGCTGAGCATTAATACTGAGTCTAAATGATAGTAATCTGCTCAGTCAGTGGGCCAGAGTGTTAAGAGGGAAAAAAGCAGCCTAATCTTCACTTAATGCCTCTGCACTTGGATTAGGAAACACTGGACTTCGCTCTTTCTGTCTGGCCCATACTGCCCACTTCTACTTTTTAAATAAAACTACTGTACAATGTAACTTGCTTCAGGACACTTCAGCGAGGAGGCTTTAGTATGAACTCATGCATTGTATGGATTCATTCTGTAGAAAAAGGAGCTGCACTCTGACTCTTTTATTTTCCATCCCTTCCACTTTCTCCCCCAGTCCACTCTCCCTCTCCCTCCCCTTTAGACCAGGGTTGAACTCTGTTACCTCCCAGGCTCTTGCACTGGACTCTGTCCACTAAAAGCTCTAAATCTACTCTATAAATACCCTCCGGTAGCAATGCACCTCACATATGTAGAACAAACCTACAGGGATGTTCTGTCTGCAGCAGTGACGCAGTTTAAACAAAACATAAAACTGCAAGTCTCTCTCTCTCTTGATGAACTAACACTGTTGTTTTGTGTGTGTGCAGCCAGGAGGCTCCCTCTTCATCACTACTATTAATAAAACCAACCTGTCGTACGCTCTGGGTATTGTTGTAGCCGAGCAGCTGCTGCGCATCGTTCCCAGCGGGACGCATGACTGGGAGAAGTTCATCAGCCCAGAGGATCTGGAGCGCCTCCTGGAGTCCAGTAAGTCCTCATCACTACATCAAATTTACATTCATCTCAGGCCAATTTCCACGTATGGTTACTGTGTTATAAGTTAACTCTAATGGGTAAGTCAAGTCTAATGTATGTTCAATGTTCCTGCCACTGGATGCTTGAGTTTCCTTCTGGATCAATAAAGTATCTATCTATCTCTCTATCACATGGCTGTTAAATGTTAAAACACATTTTTTTTTGTTAATACACTTTTTGTAGTGTTCCTGTCGCACCTTCTGGTGAAACTAGGAATTCATTTATTACCAGAAGAGAATGTCATCATGGATGGGGGAATCCCTTCATATCTGGTCCTATCTCTGGATTTGACTTCGTTAAAGCAAAA